AAAATAATATTCGAAATGTATGTACTACGAGTGAAAATTATGTGCTTACGATTTTTTTGATGATAATTTAACACGTTTCAATTGTAAGTCAAAATCTTCCTTAATATTTCATTTTTTGGGAAAAGTGTTAAAGAACGAATTGTTCTACACAAAATTTCACAATAAATATCAGAATAAACCATATATCTTGGTTTAACAGTTTTTAAGGAAATAATATTCGAAATGTATGTACCACAAGTGAAAATTATGTGTTTACGATTTTTTTGATGATAATTTAACACGTTTCCATTCTAAGTCAAAATCTTCGTTAATAATTCATTTTTTGGGGAAAGTGTCAAAGGAAGAATTATTCTACACAAAATTCCACTACAAATCTCAGAATAAACAATATATCTAGGTCTAATAATTTTTAAGAAAATTACTATCGAAATTTATGTATATTGCAATTAAAAATTATGTGTTACTTTTTCTTGCTAATAATTAAAGATGTTTCTATACCAAGTCAAAATCTCCCTAAATACTTCCTTTTTTGGGAAAAATTTCAAAGGCTGGAATATTCTACACAAAATTCCGCTACAAATCTCAGAATAGACTATATATCTAATTTTAATGGTTTTTGAGAAAAACAAATTCTTACTATATACATTAAAAGTGAAAATTATGTGTTTATCTTTTTACTGTTAATTTAGCCCTTATCCGTTCTAAGTCAAAATTTTCCCTAATACTTCATTTTTTTGGAAAAGTGTTAAGGGAAGAAATATTCTACGCAAAATTTCACTATAAATCTCAGAATAAGTCATATCTCTAGGTATAATAGTTTTTAGGAAAATTATATTCGAAATTTGTAAAGTGAAAATTATGTGTTAACATTTTTTAATGTTTCTAATCTGAGTTGACATCGATAAGAAAAAAATCTTCTAATCTTCAAAATCGATGATAATTTGAAAAAATCCAATCGTGAATTGCTGTTCAATGGAAATCAGCAAAGCCTTAAGGACCCACATGACTACCCTTTCTCCCCACCCCCATTCAATCATAAAAAGCAATCTATTTAAACACCCACACACGCACACTGGCACATGATATGTTATTGATATCCAGCCTACAGACTTTAGTTGTCTTCTAAATAACAACAAAAACATCAAAAACAACAACAACACCGACGACGAGAAAATCTCTTAAGTCGAATGTCACATTCGAGAATCGTCGACAAGGTCAGGTCAGGCCAGCCAGCCAGCCAGCCATCATAGGACTAAATTATGACCTTCTCTAGACAAAAACCTACGTCATTCCACTTTGGTGGTCTCAGTACAGGGAGGGTGAGGAATGGAGGATGTTTGGGGGGTCATAATGATTATTTTTTTTGTTTACGTCAATGGTTTCAAAATTCTTCTTAGGAAGAATAAAAAAAAAAAACAATTAAATATGAATGTTATTAAAAAGTACCGAAGGAATGCCTCCAAAATAAAATTCCATGGAAATTATTTCGGGAAATGGGAAAGAGTTAGGAAAATAAATACTTTGAAAATACAATTATTTATAGATAATGAAATGGAAAGGAAAGAGTTGCCAGTAATCCAATATATAATTAAAGGTGGCCTTAAATTAATCTCAATATCAGAATTGAGGGAAAAGGGTTGAATATTTTTAAGCGTGAGGCAGAATGATATTGTACACGTTCTGTAAATAGACTAAATTGAATTATAGCTTCATCTAATAGTGTGGGGTATTAATCTTTAGCATTAGAGACAAATTTTAGCCTAGCTGAAATAGGCGGATATATGAAACAAGCTAAGATGTCACAAGGCAAAGTGGCGAACAATGATTCAAATTATAAGGGTTCCCCTATTGTATATAGTCAAAACGAGATAAAGGCCTTAACGACATTTGGCCTCAGAACCCAAAACTCCTTTGGGGTTTCGAATCACAAACGAGTTATATCAAGTCCAGATAAAATTATTGGATAGCGAAATTATAAGAACATTTGCAGCGAATTGGGAAAAAGTGGTAAAAATGTCAAAAATAAACAAGATTTTTTCATTAACAACAATTTATCGTATTTTTTCATAATACATATTAAATATACAATTTTTTTTTGTTAAGGGGCGGGGCTCAACTTGAAATTTGATCTAGAATAATTCTTCCTTTAATACTTTTCCCAAAAAATGAAGTAAAAAGGGAGATTTTAATTTAGATTGCAAACGTGGTTATAAGCAATACAAAACCTCAACACATAATTTTCACTTGTAATATATACATTTCGAATGTAATTTTCTTCAAAACTATTATACCTAGAGATATGATTTTTGCGTACAATATAACACTTACACTATTCTAAAAAAATTAAGTATTAAGTAAAATTTTGACTTCGAATGGAAAAGGGTTAAATTAGCTGTAAAAATATAAACAGATAAGTTTTACTTGTAATGTATATATTAAGAATGTGTTTTTCTCAAAAACCATTTAAACTAGATATATGGTTTATTCTGAGATTAATAGTGGAATTTTGTGTAGATTATTTCATTCTTTGACATTTTTTCCAAAAAAGTAAGCACTAAGGGAGATTTTGACTTGGAAAAGAAACATCTTTAATTATCAGCAAGAAAAAGTAACACATAATTTTCAATTGTAATATACAAAATTTCGAATGTAATTTTTATAGAAACTATTGTGCCTAGATATATAGTTTATTCTGAGATTTGTAGTGGAATTTTGTGTAGAATATATCTTCTCTTAACACCTTCTGCCTAAAATGAAATTTTAGGTTGCTTTCAGGCGTCAAGTCGAAAAAGGACCGATGAAAAATTGATCAAAAAATTAGGAAATATTTTCGTTTTTTGGAAACATTGATGCATATTTTTTTTTGATATGCCTTGGTGATTACTTATCTTTGGTGACTTATAGCGAAATTTAATGAGGAACATTTTTGTCTTTGGCGTTTTTCTTCTGAAACGATGCTTTGTTGGAGATTTTTGCGCAAACTCACGTAATGTAAGGCTTTAACCCAAAAATGTGCTTTCTTTAATATTTATGAATTCGAATGTAATTTTTTTAAAAAACTATTAAATCTAGATATATGGTTAATTCTGAGATTTTTAGTGAAATTCTGTTTAGAACATTTCTCCCATTGACACTTTGTGTCTTGAACGAAATTTTATGTTATTTTCAGGCGTCAAATCGAAAAAAGTCCAAAGGGACAAATGATCAAAAAAAGGAAATATTTTCGTTTTTTTTTTTTTTTTTTTGGAAACATTGATGCAAATATTTTTTTGATATACATTCGAAATAGAGATTTCTTTTCCTTGAGACTTATAGCGAAATTTGATGAGGAATATTTTTGTCTTTGGCGTTACTCTTCTAAAATTATGCTTTGTTGGAGATTTTTGCGCAAACTCACCTAATGTAAGGCTTTAACCCGAAAATGTGTTTTTTAATATTTATGTATTCGAATGTAATTTTCTTAAAAAACTATTAAACCTAGATATATGATATATTCTGAAATTTTGTGTGTCTTAAACGAAATTTTACGTTATTTTTAGGCATCTACTCGACAAAAAAGGCTTAGGGATAAATGATAAAAAAACGAAATATTTTCGAATTTTTGTGGCAACATTGATGCCAATATTTTCCAGATTTTGAATGGATATAGGGGTTTCAGTTCTTTGATGACTTCTAGTGAAATTTGATGAGGAATATTTTTGCCTAAAGCGTCATCTTTCTACAATGATGTTTTTTTGGAGATTTTTGCATAAACTTACATAAAGTAGGCTTTAACTCAAAAATGTGTTTTTTAAATTTAGGAATTCGAATGTAATTTTCTTAAAAAACTATTAAACCTAGATATATGGTTAATTCTGAGATTTGTAGTGAAATTTTGTGTAGAACATTTCTCCCATTGACACTTTGTTTCTTAAATGAAATTTTTCGTTATTTTCAGGCTTCAAATCGAAAAAGATCGAGGAAAAATTGATCAAAAAACTAGGAAATATTTTCGTTTTTTGATATTATTTTTTTTTTGTTGACTTATAGCGAAATTTGATGAGGAAAATTTTTTCCTTGGTCTTTATTCTTCTAAAATGACGCTTCGGTGGAGATTTTTGCATTAGCTCATAAAGTAAAGCTTTAACCACAACGTGCGTTTTTAATATTTATAAATTTCTGGTGTTTAGGTAGGATTTAGATTTTTGATGTCTTCTAGGATCTATAGTAGAATTTTATGGCAAATAATGTTTTAGAATATTTTGACTTGCTACGCTGCCGTTTAAAGGGAGTTTTTAACCATATTTAAAAAAGGGACCAAAAAGACCCTTTAGTTGACCAGCTAGAGGGTTAAAATTTTCCACCAATATACTCCTTACATTTTTATCGATTAATATTAATTATCGATACATGTGTCTTCCATTTTTAGATCTACTTTCATAACCTGCTGGATTTTTCCTGCAATTATTTTTTTGTGTGGCGTAGTTTTATAAATATTACAATTATTTAAATTATAATAATTTTAATTATTTAAAAATTAAATAGAAGTTAGGCAGACAATTTTCAAAAAATTAAAATCAAATAAATATTAACTACCAACAGAATTACGCAAAACTAGATGACACCCCTGAACCCTTGGGGTATTAAATAGTAACCCTTCAAATAATTAATTAATGTGAATCTAAATTTGCTGCCAGTAGCTAAATTTTATCCATCGCTGACTCACAAATCCAATATCTTAACGTTTCCCACATATCCCCTCCCCTCCCTCTGCTCCTCCCTTTTCAGGAAAACCCTCATTGCCGCAATCAAGTGTGATTTATTTTAAAATGTTGTCCCATATTTATTTTTATCTTTCTCCCATTCTCACTCTTCCGTTTTGCATGTTTGGCAACAATTAAAGAATTCTGTTTGCCATTTGTCTGCAAATATTTTATTTTTTTTTGCTTTATTTTTTTTTTTATACGGAACAAAATTAAATAATGTTCTTTTGTTTGTTGTCTCTGTTTTTTTTTTTGCAGCCGGATGAGGTCAACACCCGTAATAATTTTCTACAGGGAAATTTCTTTAATCGCAAAAGGTAAGTGAGAAACCATTTTTATTAGCAATTTGATTTAGTTTTAAATTGTTTTAAATAAATTTTAGGAATATCTAAACTAATGATTTCAAAATACAAAAAAAAAAAAAAAAAAATAAATAAAATAATGCATACTATTCTGAGAGAGCCGTAGGGGCCCTCTAATTTTTGGTTTATTGCATATTGAAGTAAGGAACTTATAGGATATAAATTCCCTGATTACAATTTATAAAACTAAGGCACTTTTTAAAATTAGAAGAATTCTTATATTATATAGGAGGATACATTTCTTCGATAAATATTTTAAAAAAAATATTTTCCCAAAGTAAAATATGAAATTTTCAATCAAAAATTATTTTTTTAATTTTCCATTATTTATTGAAGCCAAAAAAAAAAATTAAATATTTCACAAAATATTGTCAGAGCCATCTGCTAAAAAGTAGATTAGTTTCAGGGTCGTCTTTTTCAATTTTTTTAGTTCAGCTGTAACTTTCCAAATAATCAGACGAATTATAATTTTTTTGAAGACTATTAGAGGCATAAAAATTGTTTTTTAACGAATTTTTTCCAAGGATTGTCGGATCCAGGGATAGATTTTTAAATAATATTTTCTTAACGACAAACAGATGTACAAAGGTGGATTTTTAGGAAATGTTTTTTCGAGGCTACCGAATCCATAAATTTAGAATTTTTAAGACTATTTTTTCAAGAACCAAAAGATCAAGTAATAAGGTTTCCTCAAAATTTTTTCAAGCCCTATCTGGCTATTTAAGAGAATTTTTAAATAATATTTTCTTGAGGATCAATAAATAGATTTACAAACATGGACTCTCAAGAATTGTTAAAGCACAGTCAGAGCCATAAACGTGGATTTGTTAAGATTTTTTTTTGGATTTGGATGGTTTTTTATGAATTCCTTTTCAAGGACTATCATAATAATAAAAAGGAATATTTTTTCAGTATCTAATGGAAGCGTAAATGTAATTTTTTTTACGAAAATAAGGATTTTTGGGCACGTATAGACCTACAAATGTAGATTTTAAAAGAATTTTAATCAGAAAATTTGTCAGATCAAAAACCTTTCTCTTTTAAGTAATCTCTTAATGACTGTCTGGGCCAGCAATTGGGGATTTTCAAAAATATTTTCTGAAAGGCCATCAGAGCTATAAATGTAAATTTTGTATACCCTCAGTCATATTGCTACAGAGATCCCTTACTAGTAAGTGACTACTACTTCGTTAGCGAAAAGACCACCTTAAGATTTTAGATTCCTTACAACAGTTCGTGTTAGGACTTTTTCGAAGTCAAAATTCACAATTGCATAGAAAAATGGTACGCATTTGCAAAACCGCCACCAGATACCTCAATATAAAATTTCAGAATTCCAGCTCAGCCCAATAACCCATTTAGTACTTTTCGAACAATTATATTTGCAAACCCAACTCCCAGTGACATCTATATCAAATTTCAGGATTTCAGTTCTATTCCTTCACCCAATCCCACATTTTGTACTATTTAGTACTTTTCCTGCAAATATAGTACACATTTCTAAAACCACCTTCATATATCAATTCCAGATACCTACAGAGACCTCAATATCAAATTTGGTGATTCCAGCCCTGTCCCTTTACCTAATTCCAAATGTAGTACTATTTAGTACTTTTCGTACAATTATAGTACAAATTGCCAAAACCACCTCCATATCTCAATTCCAGATACCTATCGAGACCTTAATACCAAATTTGAGGATTCCGGACCTATCCCTTCATCCAATTCCAAATTTAGTACCATTTAGTACTTTTCGTACAATTATAGGATGTATTTTCAAACCACCTCCAAATCTCTAACACAAATGTCATCAGTAATATAAATATCAAATTTCAGAATTTTATCTCTGTCCCTTTACCCAAAACCAAATTTATTTAGTACTTTTCGTACAATTGTAGTACACATTTCCTAAACCACTTCCATGTGTTTAGACTACACATGAACAGCGACTGTAATACTAAATTTCCGATTTCAAGCACTATATGTTCACCCAATACCAAATTGTACCAAATATAGTACCAATTAGTACATTACGTGAACTTGTAGGACACATTTTCAAAACCAACTTCATATCTCAATTCCAGATACCTACAGAGACCTCACTACCAAATGCCAGGATCCCAGCCATATCCCTTCATCCAATTCCAAATTTAGTACCATTTAGTACTTTTCGTACAATTATAGTACGCATTGCCAAAACCACCCCTATATATCCAGGCTACACATAAATATCGTCTGTAATACTAAATTGAAGATTTCAAGCACCATGTGTTCGCCCAATACCAAATTGTACCATATTTAGTACTTTTCGTGAACTTGTAGTACACATTTCCGAAAACGCCTCTTTATCACAAACCTTTACACCAACAAGGGACCCCAATACAAAATATCAAAATTCCAGCTTCATCCGTTCATCTTAAATCTGTCTGTTTTAAATTTACTACCATTTAGTACAGTTAGCAAAATTAGTACACATTTCCAAAACCACCACCTTCATATATCAAACTTACTTTCAAACCTTGATTCTCATAGGAAAATTTCAGGTTTTTAGTTCCATCCGTTCACATAATATCAAATGGTACCATTTTAGGTGTTAAGTAACATTTTAGAACTTTTTGTATCCTTAGAGTTGGAACTTCCAAAAAACTCGTTGGTACACCTATCCTGCACTCCATCAGTGACTTTCATTCCAAATTTCAGAATTGTAGTTCATCCCTTTTGTCCAATACAAAACATTAAATTACAAGTACGTTTTAGTACTTTCGTAGCCTTTTTGGTACTACGCTAGGCACCACAACTGGCGTAGTACACTTTTAGAACTTTTCGTAACCTTCGAATTTCTAAAAACCCTTTAATTGCAAAAAAAACCCTGACTCTGATTCCAAATTTCAGAATTCTAGCTCATTCCGTTTGTCCCATACAAAGTGTACAATTTTTTTTGGTACATTTTAGAACTTTTCTTACATTTTGAGTACGATTTTCCAAAAATCCAGGATTATCACATGCCTATCCACCAAGACTGACCCTCGTGCAAAATTTCAACATTTCAACTAGAGGGTGTTGATTCTAGATCAGTCAGTCACTCATTTATTTCACTACTCTTTTATTGGTCCCCAGGACCAACAGACCTGCCAACCTGAATTTTAAGAATTTTTATACCCTTCACCATGGCATGGAGGATTAAGTTTGTCATTCCGTTTGAAATTTACATTTTAGACCCCACAAAGTATACATATTCTTGATCAGGATAACATTCTATATCGATTTAGCGAAGTTCGTCCGCCTATCCGTCTGTCCGTTTGTGGAAATCACTCTAGCTTCCGAACGATATGAAGTAGGTTGATAAAAGTTTACTCAAATGTGTATTATGTCCGCAGGACTTTTGGTATTGAAAATGGTTGATGTAGGCCCACGTTTTGGTATAGCTCCCATAAAAGGGTACCTCCTTCTTTTCGGTATTTTGGTTATTTAAGCGACATTATTCACCGGAATTTTTTTCAAATTTGGTATTTTAAGTTCGCAATGGGTACTACAGATTATGACAGAAAATTGTCTGTGCAGGTCCACGCTTTCGTATAGTCCTCATATACCGTACCTTCCGATATTCGGGTTTTTTGATGATAGCTACATTATTCACCGGAATTTTTTCCAAATTTGGTATTTGAAGTTTGTAATGAATGCCACAGCCTATGACAGAAAATTGTCTGTGCAGGTCCTCGTCTTCGTATAACCCCCATATACCGTACCTCTCGATATTCGGTATTTTGATGATTTTAGCGACATTATTCACCGGAATTGTTTGAAATTTGGTATTTGAAGTTCGTAATGGATACTACAGCCGAAGGCAGAAAATTGTCCATGCAGGTCCACGTCTTCGTATAGCCCCCATATAACGGCACCTCCCGATATTCGGTATTTTGATGATTTTAACGACATTATTCACCGGAATTATTCCAAATTTGGTATTTGCCGTTCGTAATGGGTACTACAGCTTAAGGCAGAAAATTGTCTGCGTGGGTCCACGCCTTCGTATAGCCCCCATATAACGGCACCTCCCGATATTCGGTATTTTAATAATTTTAGCGACATTATTCATCGGAATTGTTTCGAATTTGGTATTTGAAGTTTGTAATGGATACTACAGCCTATGACAGAAAATTGTCTGTGCAGGCCAACATCTTCGTATAGCCTCTATATAACGGCACCTTCCGATATTCGGTATTTTGATGATTTTAGCGACATTATTCTCCGGAATTGTTTGAAATTTGGTATTTGAAGTTCGTAATGGATACTTCAGTCTGTGACAGAAAATTTTCTATGCAGGTCCACGTCTTCGTATAGCTCTGATATAACCGTACCTGCCTGTATACGGTATTTTGATGATTTTAGCTACATTAATCACCGTTTATTTCAAGTTTCGAATTTGAATGTGGTAATGGCTTATAAGCCTATGTAGGTCCACGTCGTATAGACTCCAATATAATGGCTGTATTCGGTATTTTTAAGATTTTAACAGAATTTTAACGGATTTTATTTTTTGAAAATGTCCAGATTCGTTCAAAATGGTGGAGGGTATTCAAAGTTCGGCCCGAAGGGTATTCAAAGTTCAGCCCGCTCTTTTATTTGTTGTCAAATCATTTTTTTCCGTTTCTCCATTAATTTCAATATTTACTTTAAATTTTCAAAATAAAATTCTAAAAAAATTACCCCCAGATAATTTTTTTTTCCATGAAATGAAAGAATAAATATAACATGCACCTCTCCCGGTTTATAGCCTCTAGGTCTGCTTCCCTTAGTTAGATTATTAGGGGAGCGACGAAAATTTCTATTTTTTTTAGCTCAATTCCAAATAAAAGTCATGTCGACATAATTAAAACACGGATTACACTAAAGAAATAAAAAAATACCCGAGAATATTGGCATGGCGGAGAAGGAGGAAGCTATGGGATGTGATA